TGGCGCACCTGCACTCTCTCCTCGCTGCTGCTCAGCAGACCCGTGTCCGTCAGCTCCAGCGCCTCTTTGGCCTTCGCACACTTCTCTCTGTCGTCCTTCAGACGCCCGAACTTGCCCTCGTAGATGGTGAGCGACTGCAGCGCCTCCTCTGGACGCAGACTGCCCTGCAGCGACAACAAGCAGACAGACACTGAAAGAGGCTGAAAAAGACCTGAAAACAGCGTTCATCTCCAGACACGTACTGCTACGGGTTTGGTCTTCTCCCAGTCTGACAGCAGGTCCGTGGTGCGGTTCTCCACCGCGCGGTCCTCCTGCACGATCTTCATCTGGAGGTTAGCCACCTGCTGCTGGATGGCCGTGTCTTTGCGCTTCATGATGTCGCTGAAGGCGCCCCACTCGCCCTCGATGTTATCGATGTACAGCCAGGAGGGAGGGAACTGGAACCGCTGCTTCTCCAGCAGACGCTGGCCGTTGCGGAACAGCTGCATGAGACCAGAGACTTTAATAACGTTTGCTCCAGAGAATCCTGTTTAAGACTCTGTACGAGGCAGATTGTACTCACGTCCACTTGCTTCTCAAACTGTTTGATCTTGCGTTTGAGCGCCTGCACGTACGTGATGAAGGTCACGGCGTCAGAGGTGCTCGCCGTATCCACCGAATGCTGCTCCAGCTCTTGACGAGACTGCAAGAGGATCACAGAACAGTTCAGAACATTCGCTTGAGCATCAAACATGACCGGTCCCTTCAGCGAGAGCTCAGCCCACCTTGGAGATCTGCGAGTGGAAGTCCTGCATGTTGTTGCCCAACATCTGTCCAAACTTACTGAGCACCTCCTTATGCCACGAGTCGTACTTCAGATTCACCTTGGACTGGACCTAAACGACACGTTAAAAGAGACACTTCAGCGTGATCATTCGTGGAGAGAAACCTCAAGACTGAACCGTGAGCGGCTCGCTCCTGACCTTGCCGTAGTCGATGACGGCCGGCCCAAACTCCTTCCTGGTTTCTGCGTTGTCAAACGTGCCTCGAGCTTTGCGGATCTGCACGAGCAGCGCCTGCCACTTGTTGAGATCTTCTCCCAGACGGTTGTAGATGTTCTCGGCCTGCATGTCCCACAGACACTGGTACTGGAGCCACACCTGACGGAGCAAACGCAGTCAGTCTGGCGTCTGAACACGCTTCACTCGCTCGCTCTAAGAGAAGACGCTACCTTGACGTACTGCTCCACCTCGGACACGATCTCCTTCACTGCATTATAAGCTTCTTCCAGCGCAGACGGACC